ACTGAGAGAGTCGAGGGTCGTATCATCAGCAAAGAGGGTGTATTCAGCTTCATCGCTAAAATTGGGCAAGTCATTTATGTAAATTAGGAAAAGTATTGGCCCCAGGACCGAACCCTGAGGAACGTCCATTTTCACATCCTTCCTTGCCGAGGACACACCCCCCACCCTGACAGTCTGCACCCTATTGATTAGGTAGGATTTAATGAGGTCAATGCTACTGATATTGAAATTATAGTAATGGAGCTTGCCAACGAGAAGGCCAACACAATCGAACGCCTTGCTCAGGTCACAGAAAAGCAAGGCACTGTACTTTCTCTCTTCAAAGGAACTCTCTATCCTCCCAACCAGGTCCAAAATTCCCAAAGTCGTATTTCTACCCCCTCGGAAGCCAAACTGGGAGTAGGAGAAGCAATCATTAATCTCAAGGAAATTTACCAGTCTCTTAGCCATGCATTTTTCTATAATTTTAGATATTATGGGTAATAGGTCTGGTATAAAGCTGATAGATCTATAGTTATTTAAAATATATCACTCTTTTTGAAAACTGGTATGACAACTGCGTCTTTGAGAATGTCGGGAAAAATATTTTCCCTGAAACAATGATTGGTTAGTTTTGTAAGTGGAATGATAATTTGTATCTTCATTGATTTTAGCAATTTCACACTTAAACCAAATTTGTTAGGACTAGTTGTGTTTTTAAGCTATTTATTGTGTCTCTCATTTCAATGAAAGTTACCTCGTCAAAGAGGAAAGAATCTTGATAAAACAGTTTCTGTTGAATTTTTGGTATAAACCATTTCCAACCAATTTATTATTTCAGTCTAATAACTATTTGGTCAACATGTTTAAAATTTATGTCAATGATGACAGGTTTTGATAATTTAGATTACCAATATTTCGAGAACCATTATTCGTAGCGATTTTTACCAAGAAACCTTTTTTACGTAAAAAACGCCGTGAATGTATATTTTTTACTCAGTAGTTTGTAGTTTGATACAGGTACGGACGAAAAGTTATTACTCTTCAAACCAGTTAAAAAATATGTAGGTGGCGCCCTCTACTAGTAGGAGTCATATTGACATCAAAATCAAATTTCTCATGTCAAAAAACTCCCAGATATCACTTTTCATCCAAATATTGACGCTACTTCAGAAATTATTTAGAAAAAATCGAAATAAAAATGAAAATTCTACACCCTGTATCTCCTAAACTAAGCATTTTAGGATATAAATTTATACGAACTTTTTTACTTATTTTTATTTGCCGAACATGCTGCTGAAGTTTCCGGAATACAGTTCGGACCACCCTGTAGATTACCAGTAAATTTGCAAATAAAGCTTCTTTTGGCTATGTAGTTTTGGCCATGTAGAAACGAATAAAAAATGATAAATTTTGGACCTGTTGAATTATATTTAAATAAAGTTATACAGGGTTGTTCACCATATACGACATGTAGTATTGTAGCTAAACGATTAGATTTTTACGAATTGTAAGTTCTGGATTCGTTGAAGGACTATTAGAGCTACAATTTAAAAATATTTTTACAAGATACAGAGCGTCCCAAATAAGTAAAAAATATTTATAGTTGTATTTTTTTAAATGGAACACCCTGTATATAAGTCTATTTTTAGATTCTACGATTGAAATAAAGGTAAATTTGACTAAGGTTTATCACACTTAAACCTTACCGTTTTTGAGATATTTTCAATTCTGTGAAATTGCAGTAAAATATTTAAGGCTTTATTTCTCCAAGAGTATTAAAGGTTTTAATACTAAATATTTACTGAAGATTATGTATTGATCAGATATTGTGTTGCAATAATACAAATTTTACTACCATATACAGAGTGTCCAAAAATTTATATTATATTATTACTAACTTTAAACGACAATAACTTGTTTAATTTAAATGGAACACCCTGCATATTTTAGGTGAATAAGATGCAAAATTTATAAATTAATATATATATTATATAATAAATTTTCTATCAAATTTTAGTATACCATTTTTTAACTATCTCTTCAAGTTTTCGTAGAAAATCCATTTTCTTGTAATTTAGACCACATTTATCATTATACCCATGGAATATTGACATAGATTTTTTAAAGCTGATGCTTTAAAAAAATGTACAAAATGTACAGGTCGTAAAAATAATAATATTGCAGGCTCCATTTGTTTACAAAAAGAAAACTATTTAAATCTTTATAAAAGTGTATACCAATTAAATATACCACCATTATTTCCGCCCAAAATTTAGTTAATTACATTGGTACTGAATTGTTTTACTTCTAAAAAAAATATTCTAAATAAATGTGGATTTGACTCAGAAATGAATATAATAATAAGTTATGAAAATGAACGTCTCTGTTGTTATAAATAAGCATTCGTCAAAAAATGAAATATAATTTATAAGCTGTTACTTTTTACCACATTTTATAATACACATACAAAATTCAGTTTTTTAGCATTTGGGGCAATTATTATTAATCAACGAAACAGTCAATTAATGTAGTTTGAATACTGGGATCATATTAATTGATCCTCTTTAACAAAAAATATTTACAGTTATATTAACAGTTTTTTATTTTTTAATGAAATAAGCGAACTATATCGACAATATGGTACTTTTTAAAATTTGTTACATCTTTAAAAATAATCTAAAATGTCAATATTCCATGGGTATGATAAATGGGGTCTAAATTATAAGAAAAAGCATTTTCTACGAAAACTTGAAGAGATAGGTTAAAAAATGGTATAATAAAATTTGATAGACAATTAAATTGTGCATCTGATACTAGTAAAATATATAGGGTGTTCCATTTAAATTAAACAAGTTATTGCCGTTTTAAGCTAGTAACTATTTAATATAAATTTTTAGACACTCTGTATAAGGTAGTAAAATTTTGCAACACAATATCTGATCAATGCATAATCTTCAGTAAATATTTAGTAGGTATTAAAAACTTTGATACCCTTGAAGAAATGAAGCCTAAAAATTTTTACTGCAATTTCATAAAATTGATTTGAAAAAATGCATTTATGGTATAAATCAACTTAGAACCATCACATTGGTGACAACGGTGGTTCTCAGCATTGGTGGCAGCGGAGGTTTAACTTAGAACCATCACATTGGTGACGGCGATTCATCGCATTTGTGGTATAAATCAACTTGAAACCATCACATTGGTAACAACGGTGGTTCTCAACATTGGTGGCAGCAAAGGTTTAACTTAGAACCATCTCATTGGTGACAGCGGTTCATCACATTGATGACAACTGTGGTTCTCAACATTGATGGCAGCAAAGGTTTAACTTTGAACCATCACATTGGTGACATTGGCTCATCACATTGGTGACAACGGTGGTTTTCAATATTCGTGGCAGCGGAGGTTTAACTTAGAACCATCATATTGGTGACAACGGTGGTTCTCAATATTGGTGGCAGCAAAGATTTAACTTAGAACCATCACATTGGTGACAGCGGTTCATCACATTGGTGACAACTGTGATTCTCAACATTGATGGCGGCGGAGGTTTATCTTAGAACCATCACATTAGAGACAAAAGCGAGCGGGCGACGGGTGCGACAACAGAGAGCGACTCGCGCGACATATTTGAATCGCCTACGATGCCGCTTTAGTCTCCGCGCCCATCTCCTATACCTAGGACAGCTTCATAAGAAAACGTTGTTTGATAAATACGCGTCGCTTGCACCGCCCGAATCGCGCGCTTTTGTCTCCCACGTAGGATGAAGCGTAAGGCTGCCAACTTTTTATTTCTCCATTGCGAGGCGCTCCACAACATCAGTCTCCCTTCTCGTTTTCTCAAATAAAAAAATAAAAATTTCTATAATTCATAATTATACATTATATTTTAATAGGTGTTTTAACTGGTGTCCAACTTACTAGATTAAGTTATATTTTTTAACGCCATGAACTTTTTTCTTCAAGATATCTTTCTGTTTTCAAGCAGCTTCGAAAATTCAGTTCACTTGTCCAGATTGCCAACAAGTCCATATTGTCCAGCCTCAACAAGAAGTGTAGATTTCTTATGTCCAGGTAGAGTTTATAACAGAAATACTCTTTTTGTAGCTTCTAGAAAATGCAAGGAGTATTTAACGAAATAGAGTACATTTTGGAATGGAAGATCATTTATTTAAAGTGGTTAAACACTTCTAGCCACCTTTCAGATATCATGTATGTCTTCATTGCACTATTTTCTAAGTTTTCATCTGTATAGTTTGAAAGATAGTTTACCTTGGTTTACCTCTTTAAATAAACTGCTTTCGTCTAACTTGTATGTGTTGGCCATGTAAAAGTGAAGGTTGATTTGAACTTCGACCAGGTTACTATGCAGATGCAGTGGCGCATCTAGAGATTGAGTCTGGGAGGGGTAGAGGAAGTACTAAGTAAAGTACTAGGTTTAAGTTAAATGCGCTGAATGGTATCACTGTGGAAAAAATAAACTTGGATTGGTCTTGATTTTGTATTTTGATTAGCATTAAAAATTACTATTGTGACCTTTGATTGTGACATTTTTTTGACAATTAGGGGAATGAGGGGCATAACCTTATACCCAAGGAAAAATTAAAATTATGAAACTCGTAATATATTTTGTTTTACTTTTTTTATTGGAATATACTTTGCAATACCATATATTTCTAGGACATAACATAGAAAAATAAAAACTCAATATGTTTTGAACTATTAACAAGTAACAGAAAGAATACAACATCCGGTTGTGCCCCATGCCTTGGGGCAAAAGCGGATGCAATCAGGGGCAAAACCGCATATTCTACTAAGTAGACGTAAAACATATATTACACTCAAAACTGTCGAGTTCCTCTAAAAACCAACCTGTGCAACTTTCATGTGCCCAATTGTTACACTTTGTACACTTAATCCACTGATCCGGGTCTTGTCTCGAGTATTTTCCTTGACAATAAAAGCAAAGAATGCAACTTGATTTTTTGTTGTAATGTTTTCATTAGGTTTCTTGTTTACCACCTTGTGGCCCTTTTTGTAGGTGGATACTTGCCGTCAACTATATTTCTTTTTACGCTGATTCTTTTTACACTGTTGGGAGTTTTTGCTTGTGATAACGCTTCTGTCAATTCTCGTTGATAGAGTGATTCAGTTATAATCACCGTTTTGCCTCTGCGTCTGCTTTGACTCTCCTTTCTATTAGCATGTGGAATGGGCATTAAATCTTGAGGTGATATCAAGAATTTCATACCAGTCGAACTTTTAGTTGAAATCTTTTTTTCAGGTGTTTTCTCTAAACTGCAGCTTTCAGGAGTAGTCTCAATTTGATGTTGAGTCTTTACAGTTTCTTGCGATTTCGTATTGGAATGCACATTATTGAGTGGCTGCACATTTATTCCGGATGGTCCAGCAACTGCATCAGGCTGAAAAATTACAGATGAACCATCAATTTTTTCATGTTGCAAATTCAACTCAGACGGGCTAATAACTGGTGAGCTGCCTTCTACAGGTTGTGCAGAATATGTGGGCATATTGACTTCTGGGTTGTTTTGTATTTCAGGTCTGTCTGTTGTTTTTGATGGCGCAAAGTCTGCCTCTGTAAAAACAGGCCGGTTTGTCGGGTAAATCCCTATTTTTTCAAACCCGTGGACGGCAGTTTGCATTGTAGCTGCACGCTGATAGGCTCTGCCAAATAAACTTGCTACCTGAAATTGTGAAACAACTCGCCCAGGATTCATTCGGAGCCAAGCCTTAACCTCTTGAGTATAAAATTGGCTCAATGGCGAATTAAAGCTTACGTCTAGAGGTTGACATTTATGTGTGCAATGGGGTGGCAAACATAAAATTACTACTCCATTTTTTCTTGCAAGGTCAATTAGATTAAGGTTTTTCGTATTCGTCACCTGACCATCAAGTATCAGCAAGACTGGCTTATCCTTACTAGGTTTTACGTGAGCAATAAAATGTTGCAGCCATTGGACAAAAATGTCTGTTTGCATCCATTCATTTGGCTGGCATGCTGCGATTGTTCTATGTGGAGCTCCATTTAAAAGTTCGCCCTTCATTCTGACTCTTGGGAATACAAGAAGCGGGGGAATATAGTGCCCTGCAGCCGACATGCACAGCTCTACTGTTAGAATTTTAGAATTTAGAATGAGTGGGAGGGGGGTTAATCACTTCGACCTTACAGATCCATTGTGTCCCCCTTTCTTGAATCATAACTCATCATACAGTCCCAGGGCTTTGACAAAAGCCAGTATCTGGGACGGTTTTATAGAGGGTAGTTCTCCATCTCCAATATCAGTCGTACCAGAATTCATGGCACGAATGGTTGTCGTCTCGGCGCACTCAGTGATGAGGTGTACTGGTGTTACCCCATCTTCCCCACAGAATCTGCATTCGCCGTTTCTTCTTAGTTTCAATCTACTGAGGTGTTCATTGAGGAGACAGTGCCCTGTTAAAAACCCCGTGACAATCCGAAGATTGTTCTTACTCAGACCCAGGAAGGTCTGTGATTTTTCTTGATCATAAGCCCTCAGAAACTTCTTCGAGTGTCTTAGACCATTGCAAGATTTCCATTCCAGGTTGCGGATGGAATCTTCCAAGTTCTTTAGTTCCGCCTTGAGTTGGTTACCACTTGGAAAGCAGAACGGTTCTGGTCCACTTAGTGGAGTGTTCGCTCCTTTCCTAGCTAGATTATTTGCTTTTTCATTGCCTTCTATCCCTTGGTGAGCAGGCACCCAGTGTGGAGGACTTTGTTTTCTTTGCCTAATTTATTCAGCTTCTCTATGCATTCTTTGACCAATTTCAAATCGATTGATACTGAGTTGATCGCCTTTAACGCTGCTTGACTATCAGATAAGATGGCTATTTCTTGTTTCCGATAGTTCCTATCTAAGATAAGTTGTACGCATCTCTCGATAGCGTAGATTTCTGCCTGTAGGATACTAGGGTAAGTGCCCATTGGTTCGGAGTAATTAGCTCTCGGCGCAAACACTCCGATCCCTGTTCCCGTATTGGTTTTGGAAGCATCAGTATACCAAGTTATGGTATGGTCTTTTAACTGCTGGGCAAGCGTTTCGCTCTTCCAATCATTTTTATTGTTCAATACTACATTGAGATTTTCTCAAAGTTGTACGTTCTTGGCATATCGTCCACTGGGAGTTTCAGGAGTGGTATTTCCTTTTTGAGGGTGTTCCAAGCCCCTGATCTGACAATTCTCCCAGTTCTAATTCCGTTAGTGACCATTCTAATCATTGTCGCATGGGCATCTCTACCAATGACAATGTGCAGTGGTGTTAGATCTAGAATGACCTCCATTGCTGCTGTTGGACAGGTTTTCATGGCTCCTGTGATACAAACGCATGCTAGTCTCTGGACTTTGCACAAGTTTAGCCTTGCCGTCCGTTGCTCTAGTTTTGTGAACCAGGCAACTGCTCCATAAGTAATCATGGGTCTTACTATCATGGTATACATCCAGCGCAAAGTGTTAGGGGAGCAGCCCCATCTATTTCCGGCCAGTCTTCTGCATATCATGAGAGCCTTTATGGCTTTGCTGGTAGTGTTCTTAATATGCCTGTTCCACAGGAGTTTACTGTCCAGGGTTATTCCCAGATATTTAACTTCCTGTGTTGGCAGTATTACCTTTCCATCTAGTTGAATTCTTTTCAAGTTTTTCAGACTTCGCTTTCTGGTGAATGGCACTATCGCGGTTTTGTCTGAGTTGATACTCAGCACGACAGTCCTACACCATCTCTCAGTGATACGGAGTCGTCTTTGGATAATATTACACAGGGTGCCTTTTCCCCCGAGCGATGATGACTATGTCATCTGCATACCCAATGCAGTGTATTCCCGCTAGAGTTAATTCGTCTAGTAGTTCATCCACTACCAAGCTCCACAGCAAAGGGGAGGTTACTCCACCTTGTGGAGTTCCTTGCGTTGTTTTAACAGCTACAGTTTTGGTGCCCATCTGAGCCTCTGCTGTTCGTGTTACAGCATTTCCCAAAACCAGCGAATAATAGTTCTGTTCACCCCTCTTGTTTCTAGAGATCGCCTGACCACCTTATGTGGTATATTGTCAAACGCCCCCGCAATATCCAAGAAGGCACAAATTGCTGTTTCTTTGCTATCCAGACTTGTCTGTATTAGCTCCGTTAATTGGTACAGAGCAGTTTCTGTGGATCTGCCCGTTCTATATGCATGCTGACTATCATGCAGTGGTTTAACCTTTAGATGATTTTCTCCAATATGGTTGTCAACTACTTTCTCCAGCGTTTTTAGTATGAACGATGTGAGACAAATAGGCCTAAATGACTTGGGATTTGTCCAGTCAGTTTTGCCTATTTTGGGTATGAAGATTACTTTTGCTCTTCTCCATGTGGTTGGTATATATCCCATCGCTAGACTGCTTCTTGTAATGCTTAGTAGATGGTGAGTAGCTATTTGCTGACCCTCCTTTAGAAGGGCAGGAAAGATCCCATCCACTCCTGCTGCTTTATAGGGCTGAAAGGTGTCGATCGCCCATTTCAGCTTTTGTTCTGTTATTACTAGCTTGCCACTTCCCAATCTTCCCTACAAGGATTGTGAGGTTCAGTGGGAGCTACATAAGTATCAATAGGTATGCTACCTGGAAAGTGTGTGTATAAAGTAGGAGATTTGCTCTCTTCCTCTCCCTCCGTGTAGCTTCCGTCAGATTTCTTAAGTGCCATGATGGGGATAGATCCACTCTTGGCCATAGCTTTGTGTAATCTAGCTGCATCAGGAGTAGAGTGATGTTTTCGCAAAAGGATCTAAAGTCAGACCGCTTTGCCCTTCTTATCTCCTTCTTATACTCAGTTAATTTCTCGCTGTAGAGCTGCCATTCGCCACTGGATTTAGTTCTATTAAAGAGTCGTCGGACCTCCGATCTAAGTTTGGCCAACTTCTTGTTCCACCAGGGCTTCTTGTTACTTTTTGTGTGCCTTTACTTGCGGGGCAACTAGATTCATATGCATCCAATATTGCACCGCTGACTTCCCTTGCGTACAATTCGAGATGCAGATGGTTTCTGGCCCTACTTGCATCTATACGGTTTAGGTTGTCTACGAGATTGGTGTTATACATGTCCCAGTCTGTTTTTCTTGGATTCCTTCGAGTTTCTGTTTGGGGTGTGATTCCTCCTAATTTGAACTCGATGATTCTGTGATCTGATAGGGAGGGTTCCGTTGAGACCCTCCATTGTTTCACGTAACTGATTACACCAGCACTCCTGATTGTTAAATCTAACACTTCTGCCCGCGTTTTTGTCACAAACGTGGGGCTGTTCCCTACATTGAGAACTTCAAGATTGCATGCTAAGAGGAATTCAAGTAAACACTCACCTCTAGTGTTAGTGTTAGTGCTTCCCATACCATTGTGTGTATTGGAGTCGCATCCCATTAGCAGAGGTAGTCGCCGTTGGCTGCAGAATCGCACGAGCTCCCGTACCTCCGGAGGCGGTGCCTCCCCGTCACCCGGAAAGTAAGCAGAGGCAATCACGATGTTTTTACTGCAATCCTCGATATTAAGCCGAACCATGATAGGAACAAGATCTCGGGTTGTAAATTCTGAAACACATGTGTAGTTAATGTCCTTTCTTATAAGAATACAGGCTCGGGGAAATTCCTGCCTGTTATCATATATTACCTTTGAATTTTTTCCAGACAAACCTCTAATTTGTCCCTGATACACCCAGGGTTCCTGGGCTAGTACCATTGCATAATGATTTTTCTCAAAGAGTCTTGCTATTGTAGCGGAAGACCCTTTTGCATGGTGCAGGTTTATTTGGGATATCCCATGCATGGGGGAAGGAAGAAAGGATAAGTTTGGGGTGGGGAGAGGGGCTGGAGTAGGACTTTGGACCTGGTTTAGGTTACTGGGTGTGTGAGGATTCTCCCGTTGTAGAGGGGATAGGGTATTCCTCATCTTCCTCTGACAACGGAAGTTCCTCCTCCGAGAAGTGGCCATCAACCTTCTCCGAGGATATACACCCTTCCACGGTTGGGGTTTGGCCCTCCGTGCCCTTCACAGTCGAGGAGCTAGTCTTCGGCTGAGGTTCCTGTGAGGTAGAGGCTGGAGGATATGTCTCCATTTTCTCTACCTGTTTAGCTTGGTCTCTTCTTAGACCTGATACCGGTGTTGTCCCTGAATCTATAGTAAAGAGTGTATCCCTCTTTCTCTATTGCCTCCTTGGATTTGAGGTCAATTCCTATTGTGAGGACTTGGCCGTGGCCCTCCTCCCTCGAGTTGATGATTCGCCAACACGACGTCCTTACATCGGAGTTCTGACCCTGGATAAAGGTTCAGCAGGTAGGTGGTGTCTTTCCCTTTGCTCCTTGGCAAATAGACCGTGATGGTCGCCTCCTTAGGGATGTTTTCTCCCTTCAGATTAACCAGTCCCGGCCCCTGCCAATTCTTAAGTTTAGGTGCCGTTTCTATCAACCAATCCGCCGATTCTGGAGATACACAGTCTATGAGGAGCATGCCCACCCGAAAGTGAATCCCCGCAAATCGCATTTGACCCACATTTTGTCCGTCGTTGTGTTGCTCTCCAATCGCCACTACTTCGTCCAGTATCGCCTCTTCTAGAGCCGTTTGCTGGTCGGTGGTCAGTACAACCTCTGGGTAATCCTTTGGTAGCACTGCCATTTTCACTTGTCCAGCAATAGAGGCAAAGCTGGTGATATGTCCCTGCTTGCCTCTCGGTGTTGGACGTCTTTCCATCCTGGCTTTTTTCTCTTCTTGCCGGAGCAGAGGTGAAAGGTTTTCGTTCCCTCTTTTGCCCTTTGGTGAAGATGCGCCGGCCTGTTTCTTGGTTCCTTTGCCCTCCCCTCTATGGAGGAGTACTTTCTCTTTTGCTTCCTCTGGAGCAAGTCCTGCGTGGAGCAGTCGGAGGTATCTCCGTGCTTCTGCTCCGCTAAGACCCACTCTCAGCGGATCGTCCAACCCGCCTGGTTGACCCAGGCCAGGTAGACTAAACGGTAGTCTGTGTCGCCTGTTGGGTTTAGAGGTAAGCTCCCGACCCTTGCTAAAGGAGGTGGTAGCTTGAGTATCACTAGCGCAGGACGGTCCCGCGCAAGTGTCAGCCACCTCTCCTGTAGTTTTCTTTGGGGGGTTTGACCCCCTGGAACTTTCATTGTTCCTGTTCCCAGTGTCGCTAGGGGGTTTCCCCACAGCTTCTCCGGTGGTGTTGGTGTTTTTATTTTTATTACTGCTCATAGTGTTCCCACGAGTCGCTAGGGAAAGTCAGTCCACTTCTACAGAGCCCCGCATGTAGAAGTAAGGGGTAAATACAATGGGGTGCCCCCTGATGCCCCAAGGTTGAGACCAGTAATGGCTAGTCCCCTATCTAGCCACGCATCCCTTTGACCTGGTCCCGCCATCGTAGGATTTAGGTTTTTGGTGAGGTTGTCTCCTCTTGGTCCAGGCGGTTAAGCCAAGACCCCCCCACACCCTCTACCCGCGAGACATGACCACAGACAGTAGAAGGTGCCTGGTTTAAATGTCTTGGTGCAATTCCCTGGCCACTACAGCCAGAGACAAGACAATGAGTGAGATGCTTCTTGGACCGAGCCAAAGTGCTAGAGGAGATTCTGCCAGCACCTGACAAGGAGCTTCCCCACCAACGACAAGGTCTTGCATCTCCTAAGGGAAGAGCTCTACTGTCACTAACTGACCTCTTTCTGCCGAAGTTAGGGCGCCAACTTGTCTTCTGACTTTCTTCTCACAAGACTTCAACATATCATTTGGATACCCAAGGTCAGATACGTGTAGTATCTGTGACGAATACTTGGCAAATACTAGATCCCTAGAAGCCAAAATTAAGAACGTCTCAGGAAATGACATAGAGAAAAAACAACTAAATGACAAAATCAATACCCTCCGACAGGAAAATCTGCTGCACAAGCATAAAGCTGAACAGTTTTATTTAAGAAAAAGGGCTGCAAAACTATCTAGTCGGTCAAATGAGAACAAAGAAGCAATATGCATGGACTTTGCTAAAAATCTGTCAGTGCCCTACATCAGCACAAACTATATTTATTATAAAGGTGCGTATTCATTTTCCGAACGAACGAATGTTCGCTAGTGGTATGGACGGGGACCGTACGATAGAACCGCACGAGAAGACCGGACGCATTTCTTGGCGAACGCCTTTGATGTACCGACTCGAAACGCATGGTCGAGCGAACGAACGAACGAACGGCCGCATGCGTTCGGTCCCCGTCTAAATATACCGCACTTTCATTCGTTCGTTCGGATAATGAATACGCACCTTAAGAGACAGTTGTCTATATTCTCTTTTAATATTCATGTTTTATCGACTAGCCGAAGTATTTTTTATACTTATCCTGAAACAAACGGACGAAAAGGCTCTGACGAGGTTTGCTCGATGTTGCATCATTTCGTCTACAACTTTCTACCCAGCAGTGTTCAAGTCCTTGATATATTTTGCGACTCATGGGGGGATCAAAATAAGAACTATACGGTTATCCGTTACCTTCATCACTTAGTGCATGTGCAGAAAAGATTTGATGAAATCAAAATCAGCTTTCCTATCAGAGGACATTCGTTTATGGAATGCGACAAGGATTTTGGACTTGTGCAGCAAAAGTCGCGTGTGGAACTTCCAGTGAATGGGCTGAAGTTTTTAAAGCTGCAAGAGTTAAACCAAATCCTTTTGATGTTATTGAGATCGCCTTTGATTTTTTTAAATGCTGGACTACGCATTTTTCTACACGTTACAAAAAGATGTGTCCAATGAAGGTCCGGCCCATACGTGAACTGAAAGGCATCAAAGATCATCAAAGACTTGTCTATCATCACTCAACTTGGAATGACATGTGGGAATCCGCTGTTTTAATTGAGCCGAAGAAAAAACGTATCAATAATTTGCCAAACAATGAGTTCAAATTACCAGGCCAATTATACAAAGGTAACTATGCGCATAATCAAGCCAAATCCCTTTTGAATATTAAGCGGTGTAAAAGCCTGAGGAAAAGCTTTACCAACTAGTTCTGCTATATCATATGAAGGGTACAGGCTAAAAAGGGGGAATGTTAAAAACCGTTATTTTCTAAAAAATCAATTTTAAGGTTTGAAATCTTATTACTTTAATACTTTATTACGTTAAATTGATTGTCTTGATGTATTTTATTTGTTATAGTATTTAAGATTGGAATACAGGGATTTTTAATGAAATTTCATCTTATATTTTTTTTACGCAAAAATAAAAATGAAGACACTACAGATTGTAACGAACAAGAAGGGGGAGTGTCATGGATTTTTACTGAGTTTTTTTGGTTTTGGATGGCTCTACACAATGTGTATACAGCCACTACATTAACAGAACAGATTATGACTCATTCTAAGCAAAAAATAAACAATGAGGTTTTGTAGTACTTTTTTTATTCTATACACAAATGATTATTTCAAAAGTAAAACAGGTTATGAAATTAGACTTAGATTTAATAAAGAAAGATAGAGAATATACTCAAACAGTTTTTTTTGGGTTCCTTGTACGTCGAGGTTTTGGAAATGTAGCCTTGTCTTTGACATTTTCGGTATGTGGTAATGTAGAAAAATATCTTCTAGCGGTTGGGTTGAGGCAGAATTTCATTAAACACTGTAGGTCAGTGAATTTGTCCAGCGTTATAGGCAGCTGATCTGTAAATAGATAAACCATTCTTAACATGGAATCGCTAATTACCTAACAAGATCGGAAAATATATTTTTCCGTACGGCTGTAGAAAAAATAATATATATATATATATATATATAGTAGTAGTATTATATATATATATAGTAGTATATAGTAAGTTAAGTTTTCCATTTTTTTTATTAAACACCGCTAAATAGGCTTGATGCTGATGCGGCTTGAAAGTTAAATTTCTTCTTCTTCTTTTTTATTAAGAAATAGCTTTTTATTGTCAAAAAAAAAGAAAATGAAGAAAGAAAGAACACACAAACTGCGCCCCGCACTTCTCTTATCTTGTTTATTTACTATGCCGCGCAATGGAAACACGTATACGGGAGGAAAACTAAAAAAAAATCTTTTTCACACCGCGAACACGTTTTCCCCAAATCTCGGGCATAGGTTTGGGGATCCATATAATAATGCGCGGAAATAAACAAATAAAAATGTCCTCGTCCGGATACGCTTCTAGTTCATGATTGGACCAGCAGTATTCGCAGAATACTGCCGGTGAATCCAACGTAGCTTTTCACTATACATACATTTTCAAACTCGTATACAGGGTGAGTTTCCTACGATGTTCTCTATGGGTATCTCGGAAACTACTGGAGATAGAGTGCCGGTTAAATGAAAAAAGAATTGCAGTTTTGTTGGGTCATAAATATGCGCCTTTCAGATTTTTGAAAAAGTTCATGACTTACTAGATATTTAGAAAAAAACAAATTTCGGCTATTTTAAAAATTGTCCCTAATTCCATTATAAGCTATTTTAGACAAAAAGTTTTCAGATAAATGGAAACCATAGTTGGCCATGACTTTATAAAAAGTGCCATTTTTTAAGCTTTTCAGCGATATAAGCTATAATATGTTTTCTTCGAAAAATTATCGAGTTATAGCCAATTCTTATCATTTTTAAATAATTTCACTTAGTTAGCCATGGAAACAATCGTCTTTGCTCTTATAAATGTGAAGCTGCCACATCCAAACTTTGTAAATTAAAATAAACAAAAATTGTAAATATGAATTTTTCAAATGAAGAAAAGCGTGTAAGATTATTGGTTCAAGTTTTCTTGACCATATATTTTCGAGGATACGTTGACCGGTGAATGTTATGTTTTTTAGAGAACGATTTTCAAGACTTGTTAGAAAAGTTAAATTTAGTTATAGCCAATTCTTATCTTTCTTGACTAATTTCACTTAGATTGCATGGTATTCTTATTCTTTTCTGATTTATAACTTATAAAAAGTCAGAATATATTACTAAACGGTTCATTAGAATTTACATTACACAAACTAAAACTTAAAAAAATAATATCGCTGCAGTCACTGCATACACTTTAAGTTATTTTAGAAAATGTTCAAAAAATCTGCCATTGTTTTGAGTTACATCTTTTTTAAACTGAATTATTACCTATTCTCACAAAAGGACCGGTTGACTTAATTAAACTTCTCTCGTACCGCCACTTTGAGTGCCTCTCTTAATTCATAAGTTCTTTTGTAAACCTTATTTTTAACCATACCGCATAAACAAAAATCTAAAATGGATAGGTCGGGTGATCGAGGAGGCCCATGCAATTAGTCCACCCTCTTCCTATCCCTGAGTTTATATTATTATGATATCAATAATTTTTAACATTTCTTTCATTATGCGGGGGGGGGCATAATGAAAGTCATTTTGGAAACACTCTATTGATGCGCGAGTATCTACACGCTTTTCTTCATTTGAGAAATTCAGATTTACAATTTTTGTTTATTTTAATTTACAAAGTTTGAATGTGACAGCTTCACATTTCTGAGAGTAACGGCGATTAAACTTGTTTCCATGGCTAACTAAGTGAAATTGTTTAAAAATGCTAAGAATTGGCTATAACTCAGTAATTTTTCGAAGAAAATATGTTATAGCTTATATCGCTAAAAAGCTTAAAAAATGCCGCTTTTTATGAAGTCATGGCCAACTATGGTTTCCATTTAAAAAAACATATGTTTGTGTGATATGTCAAAAATGACAGGCTTTGAAAAAAACAGGGGACACGATCTCATTAAGGATGTGATTATCTACAACTTTTATCTGAAAACTTTTTGTCTAAAATACCTTATAATGGAATTAGGGACAATTTTTAAAATAGCCCAAATTTGTTTTTTTCAAAATATCTAGTAAGCTATGAACTTTTTCATAAATCTGACAGGCGCATATTTATGAACCCACAAAACTGTAATTCTTTTCCCATTTAACCGACTCTCTATCTCCAGTAGTTTCCAAGATATCCATAGAGAACATCGTAGGAAACTCACCCTGTATATGGGTTCATCTTGAACATCACTATAATCACTGTGATAGTCACTGTCACCACTATCACTCATTTTTTTTCGTCTAAAACAAAGAGAAAACGTCCAACATCGACAATGAAACGACTAAACGCTATTATACCACCATATATAATTCAAATCATGTTACAAAAAAAATATGGGTAAAAACAAAAAACCATATTCACAAACAAGGTATTTTTGTCTTAAATCATTATCTAGCATATTCCCTGGCTTAGATTTTTCTTAATTTAAAACAAAATTGATATGTGGTGTGGTTGAAAGCGATAAATGGGATGTTTTTACCACCCCTGTAATAATAACAAGATTAGAATAAAATAGTGGTTAAACTAAGAAATTACGTAATTAATAATAATTTACGAAAATGATGGAAATTCGAGGATGTCAAGAGGAAATAATTATACGTATTATAGGGGAGATTGACGAAGATTCAAAGAGAAAAAGCATTAATTTTTGTCAAGCAACACATTTTATACTTATAAAATCCCTGGATAAAACATAAGGTAAATGGGGGGAAGACTAATAATATTTTTTTTTAAAATCAAAAAAAAAATTAACTTTTTTCAAAACTTACAAAAACTGAATATTCTATTACTAAACAAATGAATAAAAACCGAAAAGTTTTTATTTTCTTAAAAATAAACGAAAAAGTTAGATGAACACTGACACTGTCATTTCGGCAACTTACCCTAACTACGGGGTAAGATGGCGACAGACTTGGGGTGAGATGACAGACAAACTCTGCAGGTTCCTCGTTTGCGCCGATTTCCAGGTTCTTCTGCAGAAGAAGTAAAAACATGTTTTTGTTCCTTCTTTTTGCCATGATTTTATCGTTCAAACTCTTGCTTCAAATATGCTGGGGAATATTTTGTGAGTAGGCCGTCAATCAAGCACTTCTAAGACATTTATATCCTTACCGTGAGCATGTGTATATAACCTTAGCATTTAGAAGCATACGCTGCATAACATGTAAACCAACTTTTTTAAGTCAGCAATTTTTTTTGTCACGTATGGTTCGATATCTTGATCGACTGCATCTACGCCTCCCATATTTTTATTATAGTGTTCTATGGTAGACGGTTTTTGAAGTACTACATTGGTAGATACTGATGACTGGTAATGACTCTTTTCAATAAATCCCGCTGTAAGTTTCGTAGACAACAGGTAAACATCTCTTTTATCTTTATATCTAAGAACTAAAATATAATTTTTTCGTACAAAACAAGTCTGAGATGTGTTGAGATTTATTTGAGTTAGTTCTTTAGGCACACCCCGATTAGCCCGTATAGTACCAGTTATGTAAGTTTGTTCTGCAAGCAAAAACTGCCAGTCTTAGGGATGTATACCAATTATCTATAATTGTGACTTAAACAAGAAAACTACGATTCTTTCAGATAATGATATTTGTTCTGCATCACGAATATCCCCAACATTATATATGTCTTTTCCAAAATACATGGCAAAATTATAAGTGTATCCCCGCAATTTTGGATCGCTTAGACATAAGCAAAACATTTGAATTTCAAAACGTGCTCGTTTAGTTTTGATAAATTGCTTGAAATGTAGTCGTCCTTTGTATAATAAAAGACTATAAGAATAAGACTAAGATCTATTGCTACAGTTTCCCCTGGATCAACAAGGTTCATACAATTCTCTTTGACCAAAGCAAAAAACATACCCAAACGAGTAATGGGTCTACATGGTACGAAAGCTTGGGGATTACTAAATCTTAAAAACTTTAAAATTATAAAAAACCTGTTTCTACTCATTATTTGTGAATGAAATATGTTAGGACGGGACAATAAAAAAGTCTTGTTCCAATAGTCCCATATAGTCGGATAACGAACTAGTCCCATATAAAAACAACGAAAAAAAAGTATACATCTCCGGAACTGTGACATCCTTCCAAATTAGACCATAGACTTTTTGTGTACCTTTTTCTACGAGATATCTTTCCGCACGTTCATTCGTCCAATCACATATAAGCTTGATTAGGTTTATAGGTATGAATTCCTCAAAACAGTTCGTAGAATTCTTCATACACTCTAGTTCGATAGCGGGATGTAAGTCTTCATAGTTCGAAAAAGGTACGAAAGTGCTTCTTCGCCGGACAGCTGCTTTGTGGAATTAGGTCTTTCCCGATAATTCTTATAAGCTTTATGACACTTGGCTGCTCATGTGGGTGACGATGTGATTTCTTTTAAAAGCTTCGAAGAGTCAAGTTTTCCTGACAATCTCAAACTCATCTGTGTCGCATATGTCAACTCAGCAGTCGAAAACTGCCTCCTAAGCTTTTCAGTTTTTTTGCCTTTTGCTTCTCTCCGAACTTACTTCAAAGGATACTTCTGGACGTTCTTTCTTCTGTTGAGGTGTAGCAGAATTTATTTTAAAACTAATTGAAGTTTCTAGCCAAGATTTATTTTGAGTTACAAATTTAGCGTTTGTTCGATTAGCTTGATTCCATTTTTTCTTAAACTGAGAAGAAAAGTGAGAAAAGTTTCCTGAGTAATTTCTTTTGGTGTTTTTTGGGGACAGTTTGTTTCGGTTTGTATGTATTTCTTTATAAAAACAAGCTGATCGTCATATTTATCCAGACTGACGCATTAAGTGATACAATTTGTTTCTTTTTGTGGTAAAATAATTTGTTCCCGAACCTGTAAAAGAATACAGATTTTAATTTCGAAAGAAGTAACAGTATATTTTTTAGTTAGTAATAGCAATAGTAAAAGCAACACTTTAACATCTTTTACGATGAATGGACTCAAAAATACCGAAGAAACCCCAAATAAGCAATTAAAGAAAAGGTATTGATTTATTGATAATTCAAGCAACTGTTATGTAATATGCGTGTACTGTGTGGAATTTATATATGGTTATAAATAAAACAACTATATTTAATATTCTCACTGGCCGGTGTCAGAAAATCGAATGTTGTTCCTTTTTACGGTCAACACAAAAATCCGATTTGTTTATATCTTTTTTCCTCGCTTATCGGACATCTGAATCATCTGACTCCGGCGTTTCTTTATTAATACAATCAATAATATGCATACACTACATCTCTCCTTTTTTTCAATAACTTATGCAATATACATAATAAACTAAATATTAATAATAATTATAATACTACCAGAAAAATATAATTTGATGTCTGAACACAGTGTAAATGATAATTTTAACATATACTAATAACTAATAACAATAGACAGTAACAATAATAACAACAATAGTAACTAACAATATTGTAACAATATGTAACACTACATGCAATGTAAATCTAATTAGTTTTTTCACAAACAAAATTATGATACAAAATAGTGATAGGTAAAAGTAAGGTACTAAATTTATTTATTTTATTTTATATAATAATTATCATATACATTATTATATTATATTTGTTATATTTATTTTTATGTATTTTATTTATTTATTTTATTATTTTTATTTATTTATTATTTTTTTATGTATATATTTTATTACGCAGCTATGGAAACATTATCATTCGCGTCATTATTTATAGATTGCCATTGTCCTTCCACTTTCTTTAAATGTAAAATATTACGTCTTACTTCTTCTCCAGTATTATCGTTCCTTAGCCTGACATCCCCTCCTCTTTTATCTAACACTGTGTGAGGTACTGAACTAAATGGAGGTGTTACTTTACTTTCTTTTACAAGATTCTTAACATAAACTTTAGTACCTCCTTCTAACTCAGTTTCCTTTGCTCTTCGTTTTCTATTAGCATAATCTCTTCCTTTCTCTTTTTCCATCTGATCCCTATCTCTAACGTCCTCGTTTATTATAGAATATTCAGTATCTTTGATATTTGGGATTTTGTCTCGAAAAGTCCTTTTGAAAAATAATTCTGATGGTGATTTTCCTGTAACAGTGTGCGGTGTGCTGTTATACATCGTTAAATAGTTCATAAGTTCTACCTTCCAATCTTTTTTTAGTGCTTGACTAATTTTCAAACGTTTTAAAATATCACGGTTTTGCCTCTCAACTTCCCCATTTTGTTGGGGCCAATAAGGAATACTATTGTACAAATTAATGCATCTTTCTTTACAAAATCCTTTAAATTCAGCACTTGTAAATTGCCTCCCGTTATCTGAGGTAATAGATACTGGATTTCCTAACCGAGAAAATATTTCTTGCAATGATTTTACAGTGAAGCTAGTTGATATGTCCCGTGTGATTTTAATTTCCTTGTATCTACTATAGTAATCTACGATAACAAATAAATACTCGCCACTTGGTAGCGGACCCATGTAATCAATTGCCACATCAATCCAAGCATCTTGTGGAAGCTCTCTTCTTTTAAGTGGATTTGGTAACAAGGGTGTCGAAACCAAGGTACAACCTTTACAAGACTTAATTACTTTTTCCACGTCTTTGTCTATATGTGGCCACCAAACTTTTGCGCGTATTCGATTCTTCATGGCTACTATGCCCGGATGGCCCTCATGAGCAGCTTCTAGTACTAACCTTCGTAGATCTCTAGGAATTACGATTCTCGTACCCCTAAGTAAAATATTATCTTGAAAACACAGTTCAGTGTCTAAAAGCTTGTATTGTCTGACGCTATCATCCCAGTTATTTGTGTTCAAACCCTCCCATACCTTACGGATTTCGCTATCCCTTTTGGAATGTGATCTAATCTCTTCCAATGGAACTGCCACTGGTCGAGCATATTCGATAATTTGTTGTACTTGCTCTTCATCGAATTCATGTGTTGATCTTTGTTGTATACAAAGTCTAGAGAGAGGGTCTGCAATATTACTTTTTCCAGGTTTATATATCACTTTAAAATTAAATGATTGCAACCTAAGTACCCATCTTTCAATTCTTGCACATGGTTTTGACTTAGGGTGAAAAATTGCTTCTAAAGGCTTATGGTCCGTGATTAATTCAAATGAATCCTTCCCGTATAAATACACCTTAAAATGCTCTACAGCCCAAACTAAAGCGAGTGCCTCCTTCTCCGTTTGACAGTACCTTCTCTCACATTCGGTCAAACTTTTGTTGCCAAAGGCAATAACACGTGGTCCTTGATCATTTATCTGTATCAGCACCGCTCCTAGTCCAACTGGACTAGCGTCAGCCATTACTTGTGTTTTTTCATTTGGATTGTAGTATCCTAATGTCCTTATATTGGCTAAACATTCTTTTAATTTATTAAATGAGCATTCTTGTTCTTTCGACCAATATTTTTGAATGCTCGCATGTTTGGATAATTTTAGTCTTAAAAACATTCTAAACGGCTCTGTCAGCGTAGCCAAATTAGGGATCCATTTCCCGACATAATTTATTAATCCCAGGAAACTTTGGGTTTCTTCAATGGTGTTTGGCTTCCGAAATGATAATATTCCTGCAATATACGACTCCAAAGGTGTAACTCCTTCTGCAGTTAGTGTATGACCAAGGAAATTTACTTTTTTTAATCTATATTGACATTTCTGGTCATTAAGGAGAACATTATTATTTTTTAGGGTTTCCAATGTCTTCTTTAACCGTTTATCATGCTCCTCGTCATTTTGTCCAAAAATAACGATATCGTCCACAAAATTCTTTGTGCCCTCACATTTTGCAAGAATTCGTTCCAAAGTTTTTTGAAATATTTCAGGAGCACATGTTATACCAAACATCAAACGTTTGTAACGGTATAAACCCTTGCTGGTTATAAAGGTTGTAATGTATCTACAATTTTCCGATAGTTCTAGCTGATGAAATGCATTTCGAATATCCAACCTGGAGAACACTTTAGCATTCTTAAAATTTGGTAGGAGTACATCCATAGTGGGCAATGGGTGATTTTCCCTCATAATGGCCTTGTTGGCTCTCCTCATGTCAATGCAGATTCTTATTTCGCCGTTTTCTTTTAGCACTGGCACGATGGGGGAAACCCACTTCGATGGTTCATTTACTGCTTCTATAATATCAGACTCTATTAGTTCTAAAAGCTTAGCTTCTACTTTGGCTTCCAACGGGACTGGTATTCGACGATAAGGCTGGACTACTGGGGTTACGGACTCGTCAATGGGAATGTCAACAATTACATTTTTAAATTTTGGAAAAGACTCTATTACATTAATGTGAAAACCAATTTTTAAAATACCCAACGCGGTTGCTGTATTTTTCCCAATTAGATTTTTTGTTCCCCCTTTTATAACATAAAATGTGTCTACTTTTATATTTTGACCAACTTGTATTTCTGCTTCAAATGAACCTATTATATTTAATGGTGTTTTACTACCATATGCTAAAAATACTTTATCTGGGTTCCTAACTTGGTTAAATATTTTAACTTTATTTTGCTTTAAATAAACCCACGATTTATCAGTAATCAGATTACTTTTACTTCCAGAATCGATAAGCATTTTTATTTCCACGGAGCCTAAAAGACAAGAAATTTGAGCATCGTCATCAATATGGAAAACATACTCTTGATCATCGTTACTGTCATGATCGTTAATATGATTAAATGTTTCACGCCTTTTATTGCTAGACTGAGAAAATGAACTTTTTCTTTTAAAACTACTTGGACTTGGCTTTGAACTAAAACTAACAACGCTATGACATTGTTTCATAAAATGCCCCACCTTCCCACATGTTAAACACTTTTTTCCTATTGCTGGGCAGTCTTGAGGTTTACTGTGAACGGAGATTCCACACCTACCACAAAGCTTTACACTAATATTTTTATTTCTAGCATTAAACTTTTGTTCTATTTTATTTATTTCGTGGGAAGGTTTGGCATTATTAAATTCTTGGAGCTCCCGATTTATGGATTCTAAAGCATTTGCTTCCGCGACTATTATATCTAAAGAAACGTTATCTCCTAAAGCTAAAATTTTCTTCTTAAATCCACAGAATTACACTTCTCTACAATCTGATCAATTAGATGTTCATTAATATTTTGAAATCTACATTTACTAGCTTGAATACGCAATCTAACTATGAATTTGTCAAATTTTTCATCTTGTTCTTGTTTGATTTTTCTAAATAAATAACGTTCATAAACTTTACTCTGTTTGGGCTGGAAGTACTCGTCCAGTTTTTTAAGGGCCACTTCGAAAACATCTAGTCCTTCTTGATCTTCGTCTGTGTGTGCCCCCGGAATATTATAATACAACTCCTGTAATGCTAGGCCACCAGCGTGTAGAAGTGTGGCTCGTTTTTTCCTTGGATTCTCTATATTAGCCGCTTCTAAATAAATAGTAAACCCTCGTCTCCATTTTTCCCATTTTAGACCAACTGAAGCAGGGTCTCCATCGCAGTCAAATGGCTCAAGAGTCGGCAATCCGCTCATTTTATCCTTTAACTGAAAATAAATTCAATTCGTAAAGATTTTGAATTTTATCCATCAGTATATGTATCATTTCACTACCCGGGTGATTATTAACCCATTGAATATCGTTTCTATAGTCTTTTTAAAGACTGAAACGACCGAAGTGATTTTTTAAACCATTGTTTCTAGTCTTTTTAAAGGCTGAAACGACCTAAGTGGTTTTTAAACCACTGTTTCTAGTCTTTTTAAAGGCTGAAACGACCTAAGTGATTTTTTAAACCACTGTTTCTAGTCTTTTTAAAGGCTGAAACGACCTAAATGATTTTTAAACTACTGTTTCTAGTCTTTTTAAAGGCTGAAACGACCTAAGTGATTTTTAAACCACTGTTTCTAGTCTTTTTAAAGGCTGAAACGACCTAAGTGATTTTTAAACCACTGTTTCTAGTCTTTTTAAAGGCTGAAACGACCTAAGTGATTTTTTAAACCACTGTTTCTAGTCTTTTTAAAGGCTGAAACGACCTAAGTGATTTTTTAAACTGAAAGATATATTTTCATGATAAATAAAACTTACGTTTTTTTTTCAACTTAACATCCGTTTGCACATATATATATATATATATATATATATAGCAGTTATATATATATATATATATATATATATATATATATATATATATATATATATATATATATATATATATATATATATATATATTATATCCATATTTAACTTTCAAATGACCTTATTTACTCTTTTTATACTTATTCCTTCAGATATTTCCAAACGGCTTTTTTCTGTAGAAAATGGTCATTACGAGTTTGTCAGAATGCCATTCGGACTTAAAATGCCCCTTCGACTTTTCAACGAGTCATGGACAATATTTTATTAGGAATTCTAAAATGAAAGATGTTTCTAGTTTATATGGATGATATAATAATTTATTCTCAACTATTCATGAACATTATTTCCAGACTTAAAGAAGTTTTTCAAAGATTACAAAAGGCAAAATCTAAAATACAACCAGATAAATGTGAATTTCTTAAAAAAGAAGTTGCATACTTAGGACATTTAATAACTCCAGAAGGTGTTAAACCCAATCCAGAAAAAGTTTCATGTATTCAAAATTTTCCACAACCCAAAAATCCGAAAGAAATAAAATCTTTCTTAGGCTTAGCCTAAGGATATTACCGTCGATTTATCTCAAACTTTGCAAAATTATCAAAGCCTTTAACAAGACTTTTGCAAAAAGATGTTCCATTTATTTTTAATCAGGATTGTTTAGATTCTTTTGAAGTATTAAAGAATTCTTTGACTTCAAATCCTATTCTGATATATCCAAATTTTGGTGAAGAACCTTTCCTATTAACAACAGATGCTAGTGCTTTTGCTATGTGAGCCGTTCTTTCACAAGGACACATAGGGAAAAGATTTACCTATTGCTTTTTGCTTCTAGAACCCTTTGCGGCGCTGAAACAAATATTCCACTATAGAGCGTGAACTTTTGGCAATCGTATGGGCAGTTAAACATTTTCGTCCATATCTTTTGGTCGTAAATTTACTTTGATAACAGATCATCGTCCTTTAACATGGTTATTTCTATTAAAAGACCCTGGCAGCAGATTAGCTCGTTGGCGTTTTAAAACTCGAAGAATATGATTACAAAATTATTCATAAATCTGAAAAGCAAATAAAAATGCAGATGCTTTTATCTAGAATTAAAATCAATCATTTCTTAAATGCACAATTTATTTCAAAAACAAATTTCCTATTTTTGCCTCGCTAAACGAAAATACACCTGATAGTGAACATGAAATGAAGAAAGAAGAAATTGAAAATGAAGATTCTGATAATGATATTGATATCGATGATAGAATTAAAAATGAATATAATAAATTTGTCACTTTATATGACTTTCAATCATTGATTGATTATTCAAAATAAATATTACCAATAATCAATTATTAGATAAACAACATAAAAAATATAATTACATTCTTTGGCAAAATAAAATACAAGAATTTCATCATAAAATAATTGACGACATATTAGAAGAAAATCCAGACTTTCATTTAAAAGAATAAATATTTTTAATAGTAAAACTGTTAAAAACAGGAAATACTATAATCCCTCTCGATTTTGATCCAACTACAGTAGTTTCTCTTTTATTTTATATTTTATATAAAGAACAAAATGAATTTAATTTAGCAGAAACCTACTACGTTGAAAATCAAATAGAACTTCCAATATTAGAAATATTTTCTTATATTTTCGCAGATAAAGAAATTAAATTAACAATTTGTCATAAAAAAAATTGTTAGAACTCCAGTAGATGATGAAAAACCTCAAATACTAGATCATTATCATAATGGCAAGAGTAATTTTCACCGAGGAATTAATGAAACTATTCGTCGTATTAAACAAAAATATAATTGGCAAGGATTATCTAAAGATGTTGAAAACTTTATTAAAAAATGTGAAACTTGTCAAAAGTTAAATATCTCGGAAAAATTTAACAGACCCTTAGTAATTACCGAAACACCAAAACTCCTTTTGAACGTATTAACATTGACATATTCGAATATCCCACTAGAAATTATGCCTTAACTATTAATGATGAACTTACAAAAAAATTTACACAAGCTTATCCTATAAGTGATAAACAAGTTTAGAACAATAGTAAATACTTTACTAGTTTTCTTCCAACATTATGGTACTCCTTAAGAATTCACTGTGATCAAGGCCGTGAATTTAATAACACACTTATTAAAGATCTTTGTGAATTATATGACATTAAATTAACATTTTCAAGTGTAGGACATCCTCAATCTAATGGCTCATAGAAAGATTTCATGCCACTCTAAGTGAAATGATTAGAGCTCATTTAACAGAGAATCCTCAAGAACATCCTTTTAATATTTTACCTTATACAGTTATATGTTATAATAATACTCAAAGTAAAACTCATGGATTTACTCCATATGAATTAATCTTCGGACATACATCTTCAAGACCACCTGAAACTTTATATAATGAAGAGAAATTAATATCTAAATATATTAGAGACTTAAATAATAGAATGCGGTTTTATTATCGAACAGCTAGAGAAAAAACTATATTAAATAAAGAGAAAGCAAAAATTCGCTTTGACAGAAATGTACCTGAAAGGTTACAAGAATTTAACATTGGAGATAAAGTCTATGTTAAAGAATCACAAATTACGAGTAAAAATCAAAATATCTTTAACGGACCTTTTGAAATTCAAGAAATTTTTCAAAATTCTGCTATTGTATTAAACCCTGAAACTCAACAAACATCTAAAATCAATTTTGATAGATTAAAACCATATCACGAATAATTTCTTTTCAGATTTATTGGATTACTACTATCCATAGTATACTCCCAGTATGTTATTACACCAATCAACAATACAGTCGGAGTGTACCTACATGAAGACGGACAAATAAAAGTATCCAATGATAAATGGACACTATTAGTTTATAAAGATTTAGAATTAATTAAAAATACTATTTTAAATAATGATAAAATATTAGATAATATTTTAAACACTTTAGAAGAAGATGCACCACGAATGATAGCTTTTAAATCAGAAGTTAAAACGCATATAAGTCTTTTATTACAAATATCAAGATCAATTAATACAAAATATAATGAAATAATACGCGATACGAATAAGTATATTTATAGAGAAAAGCGTGGTATATTTAATGGCATTGGGACAGTATGGAAATCAATAACCGGTAATTTAGATGCTTCTGATGGTGAATATTATAATGATTGTATAAATAAAATAACTAAAGATGAATATCAAATAGAAAACTTATTAAAAAATCAAATATCTGTAACGACATCTGTAATTAAAAGTTTTAATTCTACAATTCAAAAATTACAAATCGATGAAGAGACTTTTAATAATGATATAAAAGAAATAAGAAAATCAATAATGGACATTTCAGATCAATTAAATTATTTCCAATCACAAATTGATATTTTAAATATTTGTGAATCTCTTATGGAAAGCTATACCTTTTTAGAAAATCAAATTGATGATATTATAAATTCAATAACTT